TTTAACAAAATACTTGGCTCATTAAAGTTTGAGAAAACTGCTTTCCCAGTACTTAAGTCTGCAGGTTTGAGTGACTGCCTTTATGGTATGTGAGTAGCTGGCAGGCCCTCCCTCCCCTCAAGCAAGACATTTGCTTCTCTAGCCCTATTTTCTCCATAGCTTAAAGGCACTGGGGCTGTTTACCTAAGAGGTTACCTAAATGAGTGATTTATGGCCTCTGATGTCTGCTCCACAAGTGAATGCTAAGGAGTTGAAATTCCTTTTTTTTTTTTAATTTCAATAGCGTTTGGGGTATGTGTGTTTTTTTGTTGAGTGGATTAAATTATACAGTGATGAATTCTGAGATTTTAGTGCACCTGTCACCGAGTAGTGTACATTGTACCTAATGTGCAGTTTTTTTTCCCTAGCTTCCCCTCCCAACTTTCCCCTTCTCTGTCTCTGAAGTCTGTTATATCACTCCTTATGCCCTTGCGTATCATAGCTCAGCTCCCCCTTATAAGTGAGAACACAGATTTTGGTTTACCACTCCTATGTTACTTCAGTTAGAATAATGATGTTATATTGCAGGTTTAGTTTTGTATTCAATAAACAGAATTCATGTAAGTTTTTGTGGACTTGAATTTCTCCTTCCTTGAGATCAATTAAACAGCACCATCCAAGTTTTTGCAAAAGACATTGTTTAGCTCCCTTTAATGGCTGAGTAGTATTCCATGGTATACATGGTGTGTGTGTGCATGTGTGTGTGTGTGTGTGTGTGTGTGTGTGTACATATATGTAGATATATGTATATATACCACATTTCTTTATCCACTCATTAGTTGATGGGCACTTAGGTTGGTTCCACATCTTTACAGTTGCGTATTGTGCTGCTGTAAGTATACCTGTGCAAGTGTCTTTTCCATGTAATGACTTCATTTCCTTTGGGTACGTGTTAGTCCGTTCTCATGATGAAGAAATACCCAGGACGGGGTAATTTATAAAGAAAAGAGGTTTAATTGTCTGATGGTTCCCCATGGCTGAGGCGGCCTCGGGAAACTTAAAATCATGGTGGAAGGCACCTCTTCACAGGGTGGCAGGAGGGAGAATGAGAGCCAAGTGAAGGGGGAAGCCCCTTATAAAACCGTCAGATCTCATGAGAACTCACTCACCCTATCACGAGAACAGCATGGGGGAACCACACCCATAATCTAATCACGCCTCAAGAGGTCCTTCCCAGACCCGTGGGGATTATGGGAACTATAATTCAAGATGAGATTTGGGTGGTGGCACAGCCAAACTGTATTGGGGTAAATACCCAGTAGTGTGATTGCTGGATCAATAGATCTCCTTTTGCTCCTTAAGGAATCTTCATATGTTTTCCGTAGAGGTTGTACTAATTTACATTCCCATCCACAGTGTATAAGCATTCCTTTTTCCCCACATCCATGCCAATATCTATTGTTTTTTGACTTTTTAAAAATGGCCTTTTTTACAGGGGTAAGGTGGTATCTCACTGTGGTTATAATTTACATTTCCCTGATGATTGGTGATATTAACCATTTTTTTCACATTTTTGTTGGCCATTTGTATACCTTCTTTTGAGAACTGTCTACTCATGTCCTCTGCCTACTTCTTAATGAGATTACCTAGTTTTTTTTTCTTGCTGATTTATTTGTGCTCCTTATAGATTCTACATACTACTTCTTTTGTCAGATGTGTAGTTTGCAAATTCTTCTTCCCATTCTGTGGTTGTCTGTTGGCTAGGCCGATTATTTCTTTTGCTGTGCAGAACCTTTTAGTTCAATTAGGTTTCATTTATTTATTTTTATTTTTGTTGCATTTGCTTTTTGGGTCTTAGTCATAAATTCTTTGCCTAGCCCAATGTCTAAAAGTGTTTCCAATGTTGTCTTCTAGAATTTTTATTGTTTCAGGAAACTGGCAAGCTACATGTAGAGGAATGAAACTGAATCCCTATCTCTCACCTTATACAAAAACCAACTCAAAATTGATCAAAGACGTAAAATAGCATTCGGGTTTCTTGGATCACCTAACCACCTCATCTCATTTTCCTTACATTCAGACTCCTAGATTTTCGGACTCCAGGTGTGGAACACTCACTCGACCTTCCCTTGTCTCTTTCCTTTCGCTCACTTGGTCATTTTGTGCAGCATTAGAAGGGTCTTCACCATCTGTCAGCAAGCTTTTCCCCTAAACCTATCTCTTGAGATACTCTGCCTAAATAAAGTAAGGAGAAAGAAAAAGAAGGCTTTGCTTTTCTCATGCGGTGTTTTCTAAATACTGGAATAAAATGCTTTTTATAGAATTTATGTAATATTGAAATAGCTTAACAAATTTAATTGAAGATGCTCTGATTTTTTTTAAGTATATATTTTTACCTTAACAGAAAAGGTTTTGATGCAGAAAGATAAAAACAACTGTTTAAATCTTCCCCTTCTCTTTCCTTCTTTTTCTCCTTTCCTACAGAAAGATAAACAGTTTATGTCAGAGGTGCCCATTCTTTTGGCTTCCCTGGGCCATACTGGAAGAAGAATTGTCTTGGGCCACACATAAAGTATACTAACACTAACAATAGCTGATGAGATAATAAAAAAATCACAAAAACATTATAATGTTTTAAGAAAGTTTATGAATTTGTGTTGGGCCACATTCAAAATTGTCCTGGGTCACAGGTTGAACCATCTTGATTTACAAACAAAAAAGATGGAAGAAAAAGCATGGCGATTCATACCATTAGTATGATTAGCATTGGAATATACTTCCGAAAAGCAAAAAGCCTTCAATATGTTATATCTGGCAGAATTTTTGTTTGTTTTTCTAATTGTTTATCTGCAACTACAGATTAGTTGAAAAAATTGGGGCAAGAGATTAAAAGCTCTCCAAGGTAATTTTCTGGCCAGCTCTTGGTGGCTGACAACATACAAAACCAAAGAAACTGCACACTCAGATCAACCCATGTGATTAGTAAAGCAATCAGAATTGTAAAACAAAATTCTTAATCCTTGAAAAAGAAATCCAGAAATACAAATAATGGATTATTTTATTGTAATATGAAGTCTAATGAACTTCAGTTCTTAATATATGTGAAAAGATCTTGGGGTACAACTAGAGATACAATATCAAGTATTGGGTAAAACTACACTTAAAAATAAGTATAGTTTTCTACACCTGATAATGATGAATGTATCAGGAGGGTATGCCCACCCAGCTTGGACTTCTGCTTGGACAGTGGTCTGGCTGGTCATGCCCCGTGTCCAGCTGAAAGGAAGGGAACCAAGGAGGACAGCATGACTGAGGGTAGGTAACAAACACATCCAACTCCACCTGCATTTGGCCTTTCCCATATGGATCAAGTAAACACCAGAGAAGTAAAGTGCTGGTGGAGTTTTCCTTGATGGAGTCAAATTCACCATTTGTTTTTTCCCAACATTGCATTATAAAAATTTTCAGACTGGGCACAGTGGCTCATGCCTGAATCCCAGCACTTTGGGAGGCGAAGGCAGGTGGATCGCCTGAGGTCAGGAATTCGACACCAGCCAGGCCAGCATGTGAAACTCCATCTTTACTAAAAATACAGAAATTAGCCAGGTGTGGTGGCATGCACCTATAGTCCCAGCTACTCGGGAGGCTGAGGCAGGAGAATCGCTTGAACCCAGGAGGCGGAGGTTGCAGTGAGCTGAGATTGCACCACTGTTCTCCAGCCTGGGTGACAGAGTGAGACTCTGTATCAAAACAAAACAAAACAAAACAATTCAAACATACAGGGAAGTGGAAAGGGCTTCACAGTGAATACATGCATGCCTACTTTCACAACTGGACAGCTGCCACCTGGCTCCGTCTGCTCTGTCCAATCCTGTAGCTGCCTAGCAGTCCCAGCTATGGCCTCTTGCAGGCATTCGACTCCCTCTAGCTTCTGCCTGCTGTGCTCACCCTCCAGGGCCTCCACTCTGGGTAGCTGTTTTATATATTTTATTATAAATTTTTTGGAGATGGAATTTTGCTCTTGTTGCCCAGGCTGGAGTGCAATGGCGTGTCTTAGCTCACTGCAACCTTTGCCTCCTGCATTCAAGTGATTCTCCCGCCTTAGGCTCCCAAGTAGCTGGGATTACAGGCACCTGCCACCACACCCTGCTAATTTTTTTGTTTTTGTTTTCGTATTTTTGGTAGAGACAGGGTTTCACCATGTTGGCCAGGCTAGTCTTGAACTCCTGACCTCAGGTGATCCCCTCCCTCACTGGGATTACAGGCGTGAGCTACCATGCCCAGCCCTGCTTTATATTTTGTTAATAGCCGTTCTGTCTACAGCAGAGCTGGAGCTACTTCATCACTACTGCAAGCAGAACTCTCCCTGATTATTTTAAAAAACTCTTCTCAAGAATGTTCTGAGAACTTAAACTTTTCTTGTGACAATGAAGAAACGGGACTATGAATTCAGAAGTATTTGGCTGCAGAATGATTTCTGTGTTCGTGAACATAGCAAGGTCTTGACTCATAAGCATGAGCCATGTTATTCTTCCCTAATATGAGTCTTCACCCAAACCATTTCAATCTCTCAGTTACAACTGAAGTTCATCATTACCCAGTTGCGTCAGTTAGTAAAACCAGCCCAGCTTAAAACTTCAATGTCCACCTTGATGGAAATCTAGTCTCTTCCATCTGCCCTGGGTGGGCTTGACTCCCGGGTGCGTGTGTGGGCAGGGGAGGCTTGGGCAGCCCCTCCTCACCTTCCAACCCAGCACCGAGATCCTAGGGCATGGTGGCGTTTTGCCATCAGACACCTCTGCTCCCTCCCTCTTCCAGACTGTGTTTCCCTCAGTGTTGGTGACAGAAAGAGAGACCTCTGTAACAGGCCACCCTCCACCCTCCCAGCCTTTCACTGTGGCTTGCTCACCTCTTTGGAGGGGGAATTGCCTCGAACTCCAGCCTTCTCACCTCCTCAGACAGGAAAGAAGGCTCAAGCCCAGCACTTTACTTCTCCTCTGTTTACTTGATCCGTATGGAAAATGCCAAATGGAGACAGTCAGGTGAGTTTATCTTCCTTCAGACCCACTGTCCACCTCAGTTTCCTTCCTTTCAGCTGGGTATGGGCCTGGCCAGCCAGACCACTGTCCAAGCAGAAGTCCAAGCCGGGTGGGGATGCCCTCATGATGCCCTCGTTATTAAAAAAAGAACAGTGAGAACTGGAGGTGGGTAGGGGCAGCCCTCCAAAAGATGAGAAGGTTGACTCTGGGTGAGGAATTGTAGCTCATACCTCCCTTGCAATCATCCAGTAATTCTTATCTCAAGAGCAATCTCATTTCTTCACTTGTCAGCTTACAGGGAGCTGGGAGCTGCCACCATGTCGCTATAAAGTATTACTGTACTTCCAAGGACACAGAAGGGAGCACCAGATTATTGTCACTGTGATCACATGCTCAGAATAGAAAGGGAGTGGGACATCTTCTAGCTCAGGCTCACCCAAAACGAACAGCAGGCGATGCCCAGAATCACCAGCTGAGTTCAAGGCCCCATAGCCTACCCAAGAAGGGTTGCTGTGTGGGGAACTGGTAGTTTGCTCAGTTATTTTAAGTGCTTGAGAATGTTGAAAACTTAGTTGTTTCTAATATATTAAAATACCAGTTCCTTTTTTTTTTTTTTTTTTGAGGTGGGGTTTCACTCTTGTTGCCCGGGCTGGAGTGCAATGGTGCCATCTCAGCTCATTGCAACCTCCGCCTCCTGGGTTCAAGTGATTCCCCTGCCTCAGCCTCCTGAGTAGCTGGGATTACAGGTGTGTGCCATCATGCTCGGCTAATTTTAAAATACCAATTCCTTTAAACTTAAAACGAATGTGAAACTGAAATCCTTCACTGTCAGCCCCCAGCCCCTCCCAGACTAGACCTTTGCGAGGCTCCTTTCTAACAAGAACATTTTAGTCCCCAGCACTATTCTAGCAGCAGGGGGTGCTCAACCTGTGTGTTTTTTTCACAAATATTTACCATGGCTTAGCTCACCTGACTTATATATTCTAAATTAGTGATTTTAACTTAGTCAGGTTTTTTCAATAGGCTATCATTATAGAAATATCCACTTTGAAAGTAAGCACAAGGTATTCAGTTTCTCTTTATGCACAGGAAATATCTATAGACTTTAAAGCTGTATTTGTTCCTGCTTTCAATAATAAGCTATTAATTTCAATGAAAATAATAAACTATTCAAATTAAAATATTCAGCAGCATCTCAGAGCTATGAATGTTCAGTTAAATAAAGTTTTTTAATTGGGGGATTTTTTATTTTATATTTTATTTTTGATATGCTCTTTTAAATTTATTTTTTATTTTTATTTTTCCATAAGTTATGGTGGTACAGGTGGTATTTGGTTACATAAGTTCTTTAGCGGTGATTTGTGAGGTTTTGGTGCACCCGTCACCCGAGCAGTACACACTGCACCCTATTTGTAGTCTTTTATCCCTCGTCTCCCCCCACTCTTCCCCCCAAGTCCCCACAGTCCATTGTATCATTCTTATGCTTTTGTGTCTTCATAGCTCAGCTCCCACATATCAGTGAGAACATACGATGTTTGGTTTTCCTTTCCTGAGTTACTTCACTTAGAATAATGGTCTCCGATCTCATCCAGGTCACTGCAATGCTGTTAATTCATTTCTTTTTATGGCTGAGTAATATTCTGTCGTATATATATATATATATATATGCTATAGTTTCTTTATCCAGTAGTTGATTGATGGGCATTTGGGTTGGTTCCATGATTTTGCAATTGTGAATTATACCGCTATAAACATTCCTGTGCAAGTATCTTTTTCAAATAATGACCTCTTTTCCTCTGGGAAGATATCTGGTAGTGGGATTGCTGGATCAAATGATAGTTCTACTTTTAATTCTTTAAGGAATGTCCACACTGTTTTCCATAGTGGCTGTACTAGTTTACATTCCCACCAGCAGTGTAGACGTGTTCCCTGATCCACGGTAACATCTACTGTTTTTTGATTTTTTGATTATGGCCATTTTTGCAGGAGTTAAGTTGGTATCATGTGTGTGGTGGTTTTGATTTGCATTTCCCTGAACATTAGTGATGTTGAGCACTTTTTCATAGTTGTTGGCCATTGTATATCTTCTTTTGAGAACTGTCTATTTATGTCCTTAGCCCACTTTTTGATGGGATTTTTTGTTTTTTCTTACTAATCTGTTTGAGTTCGTGTAGATTCTGGATATTAGTCCTTTGTCAGATGTATAGATTGTGAAGATTTTCTCCCACTCTGTGGACTGTCGTTTACTTCGCTTGCTGTTCCTTTTGCGGGGCAAAAGCTCTTTAGTTTAGTTAGGTCTCAGCTATTTATCTTCATTTATATTGCATTTGCTTTTGGGTTCTGGGTCATGAAATCCTTGCCTAAGCCAATGCGTAGAATAAGCAAAGAAAGGTTACCTTTATTTTACCTGTTTGCTACTTTAAACAAGGTAATGTGATAACAAGGTCATGTTAAGGTAATTGGGGTTAATGTATCACTGACTGTGTTTTAAAACTTGCTTATTGCCAACTTAAGTATTGGTATAATAGAATCTCAAATTGTCCTTTTTCAGAATTCTAATGCAAAGACTCCCAAGCCACAGAGATCTCCGTCCACCAGGAGGCTTTTTCCCATTTCTTTCCCTTCCACTTTAATTCCAAACTCAAAAAGGCAGAATAATCTGGGCTTAAAAGAAGTTTTAGGAGAAATAATCTGCAAACCCCAGAGCCCTGGGACATTGTTGGAATAAA